GCACAGACCTTGTTGTCGGAGGTGAGTGGGGCGGGCGGCGGGCCCCCCTCCCCGGGCCTGATGGCCTTTGTTTTCCCAAGCAGGCACGGTGGCCTCCATTTTGAATTTTTATCACCTTTTGCCATTTATTGCGGTTGGCCTCGGAGCCCCCGGGCGGTCCGGGGGGCTCCGCGGGGCCGCCTGACCCATTTGCCCGCCTTCTCCTCCGCAGATCCGATGGGAAAAAAACATCACGCTAGGGGAGCCTCCCGGGTTTCTACATTCCTGGTGGTGGTAAGTGGCCTTCCCTGTTTGCTTCACCTTCCAAAAATACAAGGGGGCTGGGGGGGGTGCAGAGGCGGGAGGGGGGAGAGACGGCATCGCTCTTGAATGAGCCGGGAGGGAAAATATCGTCCTGGGTAAAAGTTTTGGTCCTTGCCTCCTCTGGTAAGGAGGAGACGTGCTGCACGCGTGCACGACCGGCGTGTTTGCCGCCGTCGGGAATTTATTTTATTTTATTTTTTGCATGAGTGGAAATTGTTCGTTTGGCCCCTGGGAAGAAGCGAGGGGGGGAAACCCTGTGTCTTCCACACGGGCCTGGCGGTATCGCTTTTACTCAGGTGGAACGGGCGAGGCACGGGAGGAGGAGCTGTTTGTTCCTCCCCACCGGCCAAAGCAGAGGCATCAGGGGGCTCTCACTTCCTCAGTGGTGATGCCGGATGACTTGGCCCCTCGGGGTTACTGGGGGTGATGGGGGGGAGATGCCATTTCCCATCCGGTGCTAGCTGGCGGGGGTGTTGTTCGTGCCAACTCAGGAGCGGTCCCTTTTTGTAGGAGGTCCTCTGCAAAAAAAAATAAATTAATTAAAAAAAAATAAAAAGTGGGTGCAGGTTGGAGGGTCCCCTCATTTCCTGCCATCCGGGAGGATCTGCCTTGAACAAAGCAAAGTTTCTCTGATTCTGCACCTGAAGGTGCTGGGAGTGGATTTCCAATCTTCCAGCTGAAGTTTGCACCAGGCTCACGAGCTGGCCGTTTGCAGGCGAGTGCGCTGTGGCTTTTTAAGAAGTAAATAGTGCCTAGGTTGAGATGGTTTTGAGTCAGGCTGTTGAAGCAGAGGGAAACCGAAGTGTACACGCCTACCCGTTTGCCAGTGCAGGCACCTCGGGTCCGTGCCTGGGAGCAGCTGAGACTGTGAGCTCTCTTGCAGCCAGTTGCTAGCAGCATGCGAACTGAGAAAACCAGTTCCTAATTGCATTTGTCAACTGCATGCAGGATGCTCGCAACGCGCTCGGGCAGCTTATGGTGCTGGCTGGTCTCTCTCTCTCTCTCTCTCTCTCTCTCTCTCCAGATCAGATCGGTGGTGGGGAGGGGGCAGGGGGGAGCTTAGGCGGCTCGCAGAGGCAGTCTGACTTCCTGTTGAGGCCTGCAGTTTGGGTAATGAAGTTCAGAAGTAGTAGCAGGAGTTTGGGGAACATGATTGAGGCTTGTTTTCTTCTGCATTTAGAGTAGGAGAAGCAAACTGGCCAGCCTTTTACCATGCTATTGGATAGGATCCGCGGTCCATTTCAGAGCCTGCAAAACTGTTCCCTGCCTGCTGCCATATGTATACTGAAGTGCACTGGATTATCATCCAGCCTTCTTCAGGCAAGGTCTGTGCTGCTAACATCTGCTGCTAGCTTGGCCAGGCTGTTCAGGGGTGTGAAGGGTGTGTAGACACGGTGCTACTGGTACCACTGTGCTTTTACTGGCATGGCCTGTTTTGCTGTCCCACATAAGACACATTTGGCTGGTGCGGCTGCACTCCGCACCAGGTGCGTTTTGTTGGTGCAGAATGCAGCGTTGCTCAGCTGGGGAAGTGTATTCAGTGTGGACCTGGCGCTAGTCTGTCACCTGGCAGTGTGGCACGCTGCCATGCAACTAGTGCTGGACAGAACAATGAGTCCACAGGAAACAGTGAGTCAGCACCTTCATGCTGTGGTGGCTAATGCTCTGCCTTGGAGAGAGCAGTCCGAGGGGGCATTTTCTGAGACTTAGGCGATGTGGAAATCTTGCACATATGGGTGCACGCGTAGTTCACAACAGAAGAGTTTTTGTGGTAGGATTTTCTGCCTTGTGGTGACATTTCTGGAGTGGGCTTGCCCTTCCGGTAAGGGAGCTCTTCGGGTTGTTGCAGCGTGTTCGGGTTCAGCTGATGAGCAGTAGAAGTTGAAACATCCCATGGAAGTCTTGCAAAGGGGTCTCCTAAACTTTGAATACTAAGAGGAGTAGAGATGCGTGAGCCTGACGTGCTCTTGGAGCCTAGAGCTGAAATAGCTGCCTGCTGGCCAGCTTTTTTTCTTGGCGGATTTAGACAGTTTGGGAGTTGAGGGAAAGACATCGGAGGGTGACAGTGCTGATAAGCCCTTCAGCTGAAGTTTTAGAAGTCCCTGAGTTACTTCTTTGCAGTCCAGCAGATTGTCAGCTCACTGTAATTGTCACCGACGTGTTAAAAGGTCCCTTCGGCTCTTAAAATTACCTGGCTCGAGACTTCTTTGTTGGAGTTGTTACTAGAAGGTTTAAAGGGTGATAAAATTGGATACGTGGTCTTGACGGACCTTAAATTCACTCCTTAACCACACGCCAAATGAGGTGGAAAGCCGCTCACCTTGAGCGAGCTGTCGGCTAAGTTTGTACTATGGTATTGTACATGTGCTGTTACTTATGCAAGTCATAATTAGTAACTGGATCCTATTTTGTGTTTTTTTTTCTTTTCCCTGCCATGCAGCGTATTTTGGGACCTTTACTGTGCAGCTCCTGAAAGGCGAGATACTTGTGAACATTCAAGTGAAGCAAAAGCCTTTCATGATTATGTGAGTAACAATTTTTAATCCTTGTGCTAATTGCAGGGTTGGAGAGATCAAACTTCTTCAGCGCTGAAAGCAAGCGTGTAACCAACTGGCGACAGCTTTTTTTTAACCAGCAGTGTTCTGACTGGGTTGAAGAGTATTTCATAATGTTGCAATTATGTAAATGAGTTCAGATACTTATCTTAAGTACTTAAGGGCATATTCAGACCCGTGGCGGAATTAAGTCGTTTTGCCGAGCAGTGGACAACAGAAGCCCTGCGATAGCTGTGCTGTGGGGAGCAGTGATGATATTTTCCACACTGAGGACAGACCTCATTTACAAAGTTCGTCACACAAGTGAGTGTGCTCAGTGTCTGAATGCGAACAGGGGAAATTCGTCAAAATGTTGGGTCTCCAGCCCAGGAAAAATCTAAGTATTCATTGGAGACAGCGTGCACTTAGAGGCTTGCTCTGGCTAGCCAGTATTCATGTCTCAAAAATATCAATATAAAGGTACTTCATTTCATTAAGACTGCATTGCAGTCTCGTTCTCTCTCTTTTTCTTTTCCCTTGTTCTTGTTTTTAAAAAAACAAAAAAAAAACAAAACCTTTTTGGTTGAAGGTCCATTTCTTAATGGCTGTGAAATAGCTGGAAAAGATTGTTTGGAAATGTCTTGGACATTGCCGTGTCTGAGCCTGACGTTGGTGGCTGATTGGATGGGCTAGATTTTGGAGGATTGGATTGGCTGCGGTACTTTCCCAGCGTGGCTGGGAGGCTGTGGTGTACCTGCAAAGGAAGGTACGTGAGCCCCAGGTCAATAGCCAAGGCTCTCTGCGGTTGGCTTTTGCTTGCAGGACAAAGGAGACCACATCCAAAGCGACCATGCGACAAGAAGCCTTGGAGATGAGGCATGAGGCTTTGCAGTAACCTGAACCTGTCAGCGGGGACATCTCCCCAAGCCAGGCTGGCTGCTGTGTAGGCTTGCAAGTAAATAGATGCATTTTACAACTTGCTCAGCTCTGCTGTGACCTGTGGACAGTGGGTTGTCAGCAGGGGCAGCGATTCTGAGTGGGGGGGACTTATTAAATGAATTGGTATGAAGAGATTTGGTTATTTTTGCTCTTGTCCCACTGGTGTAGCCCTGTGCACCCTCTTGCCTGTAGCAGCCAGATAACCTTGTTGTCAGTTTGGTTTTTATTAGGCATCATGTGGCCCTTACAGCAGGGTTCACTAATGAGAATCCCCATTTATCAGGCCACTTTTAACTGTCTGTGCTCTGAATTCTGCCAGGACAGCAAAGGGTGCAACTACAGCAGAAAGTGTGCGGGCTGCTCCTTTCCGAATGAACGCACTCAATTAAGGCTGTAACATTCCCATAAACTTCAGCATGAGTGATTAGGACAGTGGGAGAGGGGGGTTGCAAGGGGATGTTGGTGCAGGCTAGGGGAATATTGTCAAACACATTAGAAGTAGTATCGGCCACCTTCTTCTGATGAATAGCACTGCTGGTCAAAAACAGCATAGAGCTGTTTCCCCTTCTTGCTCTGTTGAGATTTCTAGCTGGTTTGGGTGCGTATCTATTGCCCAGAGCCCGTGCAAGAGCTCATCCTTGGTGTGTGGGTGAGCTCCAGCCTTGCTACAGACCTTCACGCCGCTCCTTGCCCATCTTGCGGTGGGGCATTTGTTGCAGGAATGACAAAATCCCAGAGTGTTTGTGGGTTATAAATAGTGAAATGCAGCTTGCAAATATTTGCTATAGATGTGCCAAAGCCTGGGTCTCTTGCAAAGGAGGCCATGTGTTCAAAATGGATTGGCAAAGAGATGTTCTCATAGATGCTCTACCATAATGTGACCCAGTTGAGAGCTGCTGAAGAGGTACAAGGGGGAGATGGTTAGAGACTCTTCTGGTGGCTTGGATCTGTCTTTCCAGTGTGGCTCTTTGTTCCCCTAAAGGTCACTTGTGGTGGAGTTTAGTCTTGAGGTTGTCTGACCAGAAGGGGGTAGTTTTGTATGCCCCAGGTGCCATTGAATCTTGGTTCTGTTTGTGTCATAATGTCACTTAGGCATTACCTTTATAAAGGGTGAATTAGACTTTGATCCCTTTAGCCAAGGGTTACAAGAGAACTGGTGCCAAGCTGGTTGCCAAACCATCTCCCATGTTGGGGCCATTTTTTCCCAAGCTTAAAACCCTGGTGGACTCTGGAAGCACCTCTTAGTCATTCTGGATTTCCAAAGTACTTTAAAACTGCCCAACTTGGAACAGCAAACCCAAAACGTCTGTCTCGTTTGGGGTTTTATTTTTTATTGGAGGAGGTTAGATCTTGGATGCAAAAAGAAAGAAGGTGTGCAGGATAGCACCAGCCGCCAAGATACAGTAATGCTACATTAGCAGCAGCCTTATAATAATGTCTGAGGATTTAGTGTATTTAGAGAAATTAATCTTTTTTTAGCTTGGTAATAATTCTAACAATAGGCCTGAGTGCATTAGATGATTCGCATAAACTTCTTTAATACATGTTGCTTTAAGCTTATAGTAAATAGACACAATCCTGATTGTTTTTTTTTTTAATTCTCACGGTAATACAGTTTCATAACAGTCCTTTTTAGTTTACCTTTTTAGCTTTATTATGAAGACTCATAAGGAGATTTTCCGTCTTTGCCTTCCCTCCTTCATCTCTTCACTTTCACTGTTTTATTGCAATTGTCCTGTTTTGGGCTTTAAATGGTTGATTATAATTCTCCGTAATGCTGCATATTGTAGATGCTTATGGATTTCTTTCCCCCTCCCCCCAAAGAATCGCTGTTTTCGCAGCAGGAGTAGGTAGTGTACTTTCCGGGGTGCGTAATCTACCTATATAAAGCTTAAATATTGACCAAAGAAAGGAACCGTATGATAAACTTTTTTGTGTGAATAGGAGCTTGTTTCTTTGAGGGCCATGTCCACGGCCCATGGTTCATGTGTGTGCATGCATGTGTTTCAAATCCAAACAGGCATAGCACAGATCTGGGGCTGTGATGCCAGAGTCGTCTTAAATCACTGCACCAGAGCTACCTACTGTTGACACGCCTGTTTCACTGAATTTCTGCTCTAGGGGGATGTCGGTGCCTATTTTTGCTTGTGTAACACATGCAAGAACAAGGAGTCAGGGGCTGTTGTTTGCATGCGTGAGTCGGGGGTGAGGGAGGCGCAGATAATTCATCCTATTGCGGTTCCTAAAGTACATCAGAGTCTTTAAAATACTTACTCGGTGTGTCCCGAGTTTTTAAGTTACTGTGCTTAAGCAGAGCACCTGTTGCTGGAGTTGAACAAGGTGGTGAAAATGCATGTTAAAGGATCTGCAGATCTTGCCATTCTGGGATCCAGGGTCCAATGGTTGCTCAGTAGATCCAGCTGGAATTTGATCCTTTGCCTTCTGCCCTTTGGGCTAGAAGGTGCTGGGACTGCTCCTGCTGCACAGTTTACACGGCAGCTGCTCTGCGCTTCCAGTGAATCATGTGAACTCCCAAACGGCCAGAGGGTGCTTAGCTGAGAGCAGGGAGGGCACACCACGAGGTGTAAATAATGTGGACTCCAGGACAAACGTACTGGGCTGGGAAAGCATGTTTGCTACTTCTGTTTATTTCCTATGCAGACTGAGAAGGGGGGGGGAAAAAAAAAAGAGTAGGGCCTATGCAAATCACAAAGTGAGTGGACAGATGACTGATTTTTGTATGTTGGATGTGGTAAAAAAAATAACCTATTCTAGGGCTTGGCACAGGCTTGTCGAACATCATATTTAAACTTCATCCATTACGGAGTATGACTTTTGGAGGTGGCCCACATTTGCCATGCATAACACCCACAGACTCTGTGTTTACCACACCACTATAAATATACAATGGTGGGATGCTGTAAACCTTCCACCTTGTGCAACAGAGCGCTGTAAAAGTGCCAGGCCTGGATGTGCCTGAAGACTTGCCCTGACATCATGTTGGCAAGTGTCTTTTGCTTGCCTTTCCCCATTATTAATGGCAGAGGTGTGGTCACTTGGAGGCAGGAGGAGGTCCTGTTCTCTACATCGCCTGGCTTAGGAAGCTCATGCTTTAGAAATAAGAGCCACGTGCTTCGTTAGCAGAGTGTTAACAGCGGGATTTGCATGCTGTGTGTCATTTCCATTTCATTTCCCAGTATAACTATATGAAAACTAATAGTAGCAGCAGGACAAATTACCAATTTCCCCCTTCAGATTTTCATATTTAAAAAAAAAAAAAAAAAAAGTCACACTTTCACTTGGGTGTTTTGTGACTTTTTTTTTTTGATGGCTGCTTGATCTCATGCAAGCCCTTCCATCCTTGGGAAATGCAATGCGCTACTCGGAGTTTGATCTCTTCACTCCTTCGCCAAGCTGCCTTTGCCCCTGGCGCGGCTGTGTGCGTAACACCTGTTAGCTGCAGAGCAGCATCTAGAAAGGAGGACTCTTACTTTGTACAAACGCCGCATATTCCCAGTGTCCGTGAAACTCTGTTAACTCTGCTAACAAATTGCACTTACTTGTAGGTTTGCCAGCCTTTCTACCACATGGGTAGAAACAGGTGATCCAGAAGTCAAAAGCATCAGCACACAAGTTTGTTGGAAGCCACATGCCTTGATTTCCAGTTGAGCCGTTTGGAGTTTTTTGTTGTTGTGTTTTTTGTTTTTTTTTTTTTTTAATTTTCCCCTTTTACTAACATTGTGCTGATCCTAAACGGTTGATTTGCTTTATTTCTGAATCTCCTACGCAGGGGGAATCCGATCAAAATTGGACATTTTTTTAAATTTGTTTGTTGGTTGTTTAAGTCTTTGCTTCAGTCGTTTGGAATCATGGAAATATCAGAGGGGTGAGGAACACTCCCAAATCTGTCTCCGGTTTCAGTATTTTTATGTGCCTTTCCAATAGAAAATGTTATACTCTCTCTGGAGGCTACTGCTGTTGGCACGGTTGTCTTTATCTTGCTTCTAGTCAAAGCCCCTCTGTAAGCACACTCGTATTACAGTGTGGCTGTG